GGTGGTGCCCAACACAGCGCCCAGGATCGTGCCTACATTACCACCGCCATGTGTCAAACTTCAGCGCATGTGTCATGTGTGCGGTGTGCGCTGCGTGTGCGGTGCGTACCCAACGAGGAATCGGAGGAAGAGGTGAGGGACTGGCAGAAGGTGCCCTCCCAGCCGTTGTCACACTGGCACTCGCCCGTGGCGACGCAAGTGCCGTGGTCGCTGCAGAAGGTGCCGTTGATGATGCACCCGTAGACCGAGCTCACATACTCGTCCTCGCACTGGAACTGCAGTTGTTGACAAGCGCAAGCAATCAGAAAAACGTAACTTGATTGATTGTTAGAGTTGTGGTGATCTGCACGTACAGATGCGAGGAAGTTGGCGAGCATCGCTTCACCGTAGGCGGCCTGTGTAGGCACGACGGCCCAGCTCCTGCGGTTGTTGGCACACAATCACGATCGTCAGGGATGAGGGGGAAACTTGTCTCTGCGCACAGCAAAGGGAGTGGTTGGGGCACGTGCCTGGAGGCGCTCGAGTTGGCGGAAGCCGAGGTCTGGGTCCAGTAGACCCAGTCGGCCAGCGCCTGCGCCTTGAGACAGTTGGCCATCGTGGTCGACCTGTGCCGTTGATGTTGTGCGTTGCATGAGCAAACCAATCACGCAAGAATAAGCAGCAGCAGCAGAAGCAGACGAAGAGCTGCAATGTACCTGACATACAAGCGATGCACCTGAACGAAAGGCCAACCGCTCGATCCGCCAGCTGTGTTGGTGCAGTCATACATATTTTCAATACGTGCGTGTTGTGCGTGTGTGTCGTGTGTGCTGCGTATCTTGCCATTATAAAAGCTGACTGGACGTACCAAGTATGAGATCAGAGGGCAACGTGGAGAGGGTGAAGGCGTTGAGCGCTGCGAGCACGGAGGCGGTGTCGGCCTCGAGGACCTGGGTGGCGCGCTTGCCCGCCTGGGTCACGAGCTTGCCCACGGTCAGTCCGCGCACCGACAGAATGTCCGGCACGTAGCCCATGCCGAAACTCAGCTGGCTCTTCATCGTGACGCCCAGCTCGCCGTTGGAGATCACCACCGTGCGGTTGGGCGACTGGGCGAAGACCGGCAGGTCGAGCAGCGTGGCCGAGGCCGCCACCTGCAGTCCGAACTGAGTGTCGGCCTGGCGCAGGGCCGCGATCCACACCGCGTTGGCCGCGGACTGGGTGTCGCCCACGACCACGATCGGGGTGGCCGCCGGGAGCGTCACGCCGGGATTGAGGGCAGCGATGCTCGCGTCGTCCCACATCGTCACCTAATGCGTTGAATAGGGGTTAGTCATGAAAAGTATAGGCATGGACAAGGTCGGAGTTAAACCTGGTTAAGGTAGATCTGGGCCAGGAGTGCCAGGTCGAAGTTGAGCGTGACATTGCCGTACAGCGATGGAAGCTGCACACAACAGCGAACAGCGCTGACTATTAGCGGCTGGTCCATGCACTATGTAACTAGCGCATAAGAGAGGCGTGAAAACGAACATAGTAGCCGGGAGCGATGGCGGTGGCGGTGAGAGGAATCGACAGTAGATCGGGCGCCTGTGCCAGCTCGCTCGCCGTCGGCGAGCTAACCGAGGCCACAAAGTCCACCACACCTGCCACACCGTGGGCCACAACAATTTTGAGAATGCTGCGGGTGTAGGGAGAGAAAGAATGAATGAATGGAGGTGGTGTACGGATGGCGATGTCGGAAATGGCCGGGTCCGACGACTGGCTGTAGATCTTGATGTTTGTGGTGGAGCTCGAGTAGTCAGTGGCCCACGACGTGAACACGCCAAAGGCCGGTCCGGTGCCCAGCAGGTAGGCCGTTGGCAGGGCCAGCTCCCCGTTGCACCGCACCGTGCCGATGGCGTCGACCAGCTTGCTGCGGTAGTCGAATGCGAGCGGCATATAGCCCAGCTCCGACACGGCCGAGATCACCTGGTCGTTGAGCTGCGTCCAGGCGATGAAGTTGGTCAGCTCCTGGATGGGCCGACAGTCGGAGCGCGTCGTGTTCTGGAAGAGGCACAGGAAGGTGATGAACGGCAGCGGCCACGAGTTCTTGCCACCGCCGTTGTAGAGCGGCGTGGCCAGGTTGCCGGCGTCGACCTCGGCCGCAAAGTCCGTCATGGCGCTCTGCACCGTGTCTGAGTCGGGCTGCACCACGGTCCCGTAGCGGTTCTTCATCGCGGCGTACTTCATGTTGAGCGGCAGCACGTCCTCGAGCCAATAGTAGGTCATGCTGTAGGGCACCTGCTGCACAAAGGTCAGGCGGAACGGGTTGTTGGTGGAGTAGTTGCTGCCGGCCAGGGCCGGGATTTGCTCGAGCAGGTTGCCGGCCGCGGCCAGCTGGTACTGGAACTCGGAGCTGAAGTTGGACAGGGCCGCCTTGAGGAATGCCACCGTGCCTGGCGTCTGCCCGGGGTACCTGATAGCGTGTGCGGTGGGCGTGTGTGCGTGCGTGCGTGCGTCGTGAGAACCCAAGCACGCGGAATGTGTGACGAATGAAAGAGAGCTGTGTACCAGGTGAGGTGAATGGGGGCGTCGGGCATGGTGACGCCAGTGTTGAGCTGGACGAGCGCCGCGTGATTCCATCGCGTGATGTTGCCGCACCAGATCAACGCCAGCGTCTCCCCGTCCAAGATCTGCGCCGACACACGCACACGCATATGTTAAGAACGCACAACACTCGGTTGCGCGGCAGTCGGAGGGGAATGAAGGAGGTACCAGCTGAGTGTCGTTGAGCTCGGGCAGGTTGTAGACCATGACCATGGCCGAGCCCATGAGCGGGAGGCCATAGTAGCCCTGGTCGATCATGGCGTCGGTGAGCTGCGAGTCGATCATGATGAAGTCGACGAGGCCGGCGGTGTAGTCGGCCATGGACTGGAGCACGGCCTTGCCCACCCAGTTGATGCTCACCGAGTCGCGAGAGTAGGGATACTCGGCCGCCATCTTCTGCCAGAACAGGTTGGCGCTCGTGCCCCCCTCGCCATAGATCGTAGTCGCCCCTGTCCAATTACTTCGATTGAGCAAAAATGCCGAGCTTCGCGATCTCTCATTGATTGTAAATTATTGGTGCAATCAAGATTGTGTGGCAGAATTAAGCGAATTAGGGTTCATTAGATCGATCTCTTCTCAGCTTGGGACACTACATAATCAAGTCCACAGCTTTAATCTCGCAGATCTGGTATTGGTTTTTTCCACACATTCCGGAACGCGTTCTGGGAACAAGTACGAAAAAGCGGGCGTACCGAGAGATGAAGACGGAGCTAGGGCGAGCAGCAGCAAGAGTACCGCGACCGCCGCGGCCAGTGCGCGAGTGATGGTACAGAAGGCCGCAAGCGGACGGACCGTGTCCGATCCAGTATGCGCGGCCATGATGAGGTTGTGTTGGTAGAGCGGTGGAGAGTGAAGGAGTAAAAAGAAGGACTGCCGTGGAGCTTGCATCGAGCCGGGAGTTCAAGATCGGGAAGGTGAACATTGACGAGGTGCTACAGTGACTGTGAGGCCGACCCATGTGTGCGGTAGAGCGGGGTCAAACGGTTAGGGCCGGCCAATGGCTGCAGTCGCCGGCCTGGGCTTCGTTTGTAACCATTCCTGGGAGTTGCACACCATGCCGATCCACAGTTATGGTGCGCTGATACCCCAGCTCACAAGTCCACGACCTACTTTTGGACGGCCAATGCGCAACCAGCGGAGAATCGGCACGAACCAGACCGCGAATCAGACAACTCCCACTAAAATGAACTGGCAAATGTTCTGCCCAGATCACCCTCAAAACATGCCTGCAGCCATGTGACTGGCGCGTTTGGTGCAGCGGTGTTACGGACGTCCGGATACCTGGCTTTCCCACCACTACAGATGTACGCGCGGTCATTTAGCGCATGTTCGACTTCTGGATTAGACAATCAATGCGGACTTGGAAGCCGATATAAAGCCCCAACCAGTCGAGGAGAACCCAAGCAGCGAGACCAGCTGCGCCTGAGTGCACAGGCACAGTTGTGACCTGCTTGTAGCCCGCCTCCGACAGGTGCCGTGTTTGAGTGGTTGAGTCATGCGTGCCAGCAGGGGTCCCGGTTTTGCTTCTCCCGAATGCCGCAGTGACGCACGCAGGGGAAGGCGAAATGGCGGGACTGCGAGCAAGCTGGCGGCGCCAACCGCGGAAGATAACCACCAGGTACATTTGGTAGGCACACACCGGGCACCGCCGCCGACGTCATCGCCAACGCTTGTCCGCCGAAAACGCCCCGCGGGCCCAAAGCACCAGGGTAGTTGAGCGGCGCAATGCATCATCGCCACTGTCGCCCTGCAAGGTGCCTTAGGGCCGTGTTGCGGAATGTATATTTTGTGAGCCCGTCACGCGTGTACTGTTTGGCGACTGCTTGCGCTTCTTTCCAGTGCGGCCCATTTGCCAGGGAAGGAAGCTTGGACTGTGTGCTCAGACATGTTGCTTTCGTGCCCACTTGCTAGTTGAGCGCCATGAGCCCTCTTTTCCGAATATTACCGTGGACCGCGCGGCCCTGACAGTCCAACAGCGTGACGTTTGGTGCGCCTTCCACCACGCTCGACGTAGGGTATAGGGAGGGGGCCGCATTGCCCGCGCTAGCGAGCTGGTCTGCACTTTCGTTCCTTCGCGCCACTTTTTGAAGTCTCCCGTTAGTTGGGTGCGGAGGGCGCCAGTCCACTGGCAGGCAGCTGGCCTGGTGCTTAAGCACGGCGGAGTGATAGGCCCCTTTGGCCTTTTTCGGGGCGTATGTGTTTCCCTCGAAGTTCAACCAACAGACGTGGAAATGCAAAAAGAAACAACATTTTCTGCTCCGATCCACGAAAATCGAACTTTCGCAAGCAACACGCAGGACCAACCGGTAACGAATGTTCGGGTCGACAATTGGGTCCTACCACCAATCAGAGGCGTCGCTCCCCTTTCTGTTTTTCTGGCTGTAGGACAACCAGTTTGAGACTTTTGATTTTCGGTATACTCCAATACTTCATCAACAATGCGCAGAATCAGCCAACAAGTTGCCGGGGCCAGCACGGTCGCCACCGGCCAGCGCACCGCCAGCCTCGCCCTGCGCCTCACCGCCGCCCAGCATGGTGCCACCATCTTTTTACTTTCTTTACTTCTTTCTTTGTAATACCTAATTCAATTCTGTTTTTTTCACCTCTCAATCTTTATCTTTATGGAATAAAGTCCCGTAGTAGCTAATAAAGTTAATAAACTTGTAAATCGAGCGAGTCAACTCACCCCCAAACCTTTGGGCGCACAGTGCGCCTGCTATCGAGCCCACCCTCCACGCCCATGCCGGCCTTCCCCGGCGAGGCCACCGAGCCCACCATCAAGACCGAGGTGCCCGGCCCCGCCTCCAAGGCCGCCAGGGCCGCCATGGAGCAGTTCCAGGTACGTACCGCCACCGCTCTCCACTCATGAGGCCTGCGCTCACCAGTGGGCGCGTGCGGTTGTTTTTAATTGTTTTTTTTTACTTTTAAATGCAGGACGTGCGCACGGGCCATTTCTTCGCGGACTACGGCAAGTCGCTGGGTAACTACGTCGTCGACGCCGACGGCAACGTCCTCCTCGACGTCTTCTCCCAGATCGCTTCCCTCGCCGTCGGTACCCGCCGCATCTTTTTTTTGTTTGTTTGTTTGTTTGTTTGTTTGTTTGTTTTGCGTGTGTGCGGCGTGTGTGTGTGCGATCGCGTGTTGTGTGTCGTGTCGTGCTGATTGGTTTTGTGGGCGCCCAGGGTACAACAACCCGGTGCTGCTCAAGGCCGCGACTTCGCCCGAGTGGGGTCGGTTCCTGGTCAACAGGCCGGCGCTGGGGATCATGCCGCCCGCCGACTGGGGCAACACCCTCCACGACACCTTCATGTCCGTCGCCCCCAAGGGCCTGCACCAGGTCTTCACCGCCATGTGCGGCTCCTGCGCCAACGAGTGCGCCTACAAGGCCGTCTTCATGAACTACATGCACAAGGCACGCGTCGTGCGTGTCATGTCATCTTGTGTGTGTGTGTGTGTGTGTGTGTGTGTGTGTGTGTGTGTGTGTGTGTGTGTGGTGTGGTGTGTGTGGTGTGGTGTGGTGTGCGATTGCTAACCTTACGGGAGGGTGGTGGAGTAGAAGCGCGGTGGCCGGGCCTTTAACGAGGAGGAGCTGAACTCGTCGATGCAGAACCTGCCGCCCGGCAGCCCCGAGCTGTCGATCCTCTCCTTCCAGGGCGGCTTCCACGGTCGTCTCTTCGGCTCTCTCACCACCACCTGCTCCAAGCCCATCCACAAGGTACATCATACCTTGTGCCACCGCACACGTGTGCGCACACATGGCACACACGGCACTCACCGCACGCCCGCATTCCTTTGCAGGTCGACATTCCGGCCTTCGATTGGCCCAAGGCGCCCTTCCCCAAGATCAAGTACCCGCTCGACAAGTACGAGGCCGAGAACCGGAAGGAGGAGGACCGCTGCCTCGAGGAGGTACATTTAATCATAATTATCATAATACTAATAATAATAATAATTGTTGTTGTTTTTGATATTTATTATATTTGTTTTTTTGGCAATCATTTTTTGCTAATTTTTGGTGCGACTGGCAGGTGAGGCGTGTGATCAAGACGCACAAGGTGCCGGTGGCGGGTCTCATCGTGGAGCCCATCCAGGCCGAGGGTGGCGACAACTGGGCGTCGCCCTACTTCTTCCAGGGTCTCCGCAACATCACCAAGGAGAACGACGTCGCCTTCATCGTCGATGAGGTCCAGACCGGCGTGTGCGCCACCGGCAAGTTCTGGGCTCACGAGCACTGGTACGACCGTGTGTGTGTGTGTGTGTGTGTGTGTGGCGCGTGTCGTGTTGCTCACGTCTTGTCACGTTTGTCGCCGCAGGAATCTGTCGTCGCCTCCCGACATTGTGACATTCTCGAAGAAGATGCAGGCGGCGGGCTATTTCCACAACATCCAGTACCGGCCGTCGGAGGGCTACCGCAACTTCAACACATGGATGGGCGACCCCGTGCGCGTGCTGCTCATGAAGAGCATCCTGGGCGAGATCCGGGACCAGCACCTGCTCGAGAACGTGCAGATCACGGGCAAGTACCTCAAGGAGGGCCTCCTCGAGCTGCAGGACAAGCACGCGGCCCTGCTCTCCAACGTGCGCGGCCTGGGCACCTTCCTCGCCTTCGATCTCCCCACTGCCCAGAGCAGAGACCAGCTCATCCACACCCTCAGACAGAAGGGTACGTGTGTCGTGTGTCGTGTGTCGTGTGTCGTGTGTCGTGTGTCGTGTGCCGTGTGCCGTGTGTCGTGTGCCGTGTGCTGACCGCAACGTTGGGTACTTTGGCGTACTAGGAGTGGAGTCGGGTGGTAGCGGTACGGCCTCGGTGCGTCTGAGGCCGCAGCTGGTCTTCGGCCCGCGTCACGCCCACCAGTTCCTCTCCATCCTGGACGACGCCCTCAAAGTCCACCCCAAGCAGTAAGCCGGAGCAGTGGCTCTACCACGTGCAGGCCCACTTACTTTGGTTATTACAAAAGAGAAGAAAAACACTTAACGTTGGTGTGTTTGCCTTCCGACGTGTTGTTCCTCGTGCGGCAGCGGGCGAACGAAGGGCATCAGCAGCGCGTAGTCCCCAGCCAGCACACGCCCCACACGTCGCGCCAGTGCGCGCGCTCGACTCTTCGGTCTCACATGGGGCGGTCCACCACCCCGTCGCGTCGATGTGGATGCGTCGCCGCAGGGGAGTGGGCATGCGCAGCACACTGGCGAGGACCAACGGCAGGAGGAGTCGTTCCACTCGTACACGCCGCTGCCGTGCACCACCCGTTCAGCCCCCTCGGCTTCTTTCTCGTCCTCCTCCGCTGAACGAGCACAGTCGTCGAAGGCGCGGGCAAGCGCGTCTGCACCAGGCATCCAGTACACTGCTCCAAGGTGGTCACAATCCCAAACACGCAAGGTGACCATGGAGGCCTGCAAAGGCCGCATGCACTCGTATATCTGGCCGTCACCCCCGCTCGTTGTCTACGATCTTAGAAGTGTGCTTGAGCTTGACGGCCGACGGGGTCGCCGTGCTTTCGCACGACCCAGACGTTGGACCTGCCACCGCTGATCCTGAGCTCCTCGTGGCATTGGAGGCCTTCTAGGGACCCGCCGCGGCGATCACGTCTTGAATGGTGGCCGTGGGGGCAAGCCGTCCTTGTCGCAGTTGCGTCAGGCCAACGTTGACAAGCTCGCTGGTGAGTTTCTGAATGATTTGCTCGATGTCGGGCCGCACTGCGGAGAGGGGGAGGAGAGTTAATGTGCGGTGGGGGAGGCCACATTGCAACATACTGCTGAGTGCGGATAAGCTGTGATGCAGCATGTTCGCTATGGCCATCGCCTGGTCTGCCATGCTGCCGTTGTGAATTTTTTGGCAAAAGAAAAAGTACCGTGTCATGTGCGGTGGTATGTGGTGTGTGTCGTGCCTGTCTGGCGGTACGCGAAAATTCTATTTCTTTTGTTTACAAAAAGGAAAAAGCGAAATAGAATTACAACTGTGGGAGAAGAAGGTTGGTGACGTGGTTGGACTCTACGGCAGCTCCTTGACGAGCTTGGTGAGGAAGTCAAAGTTGGGCGTGCCCAGACCGGTCACTGTTGTGGCGCGAACAAGAAGCCAGAAGAATTCGGTGAGGCATAGGTGAGTGGTTGCGCTCGAGCAAAAGAAGCCATTGGGGACTGCAAGCAAGCACGTACCAGGATCCCAGCCCTTGTAGGCATTGAAGCCGGGGCAGCAGCCTGCACACACGAACGACACACACAAGACACACACGACGCACGACACACGCAAGACATGGCAGTGTCAGGAATGCGTCAACGAGCCGTGGTAGAGAGCGGCGTGCGCGTACCGTCGGCGTTGTTGCCGGAGGTAACGTCATAGTAGGCCGACGCGTACGACGCGGACTTGTAGAGGAACGGGTTGATGAAGCCGAGCGACGACTTGCCCGCCTGGAGGCGCATGCCGTTCCAGAGCGACACGATGCCGGCGATGATGGGCGCCGAGCACGACGTGCCCGCGACCGGCTCCACGCTACCACCGACGAAGACCTGCACATTCTCGCCTGCAGAGAGAGTCAGCGCTCCGTCACACTGTGGGTGCCCGCAAGGAGGGGAGTAGAAGGGCGAACCAGCGGCGGCGATATCGGGAAGACCGCGGCCGCTCCTGTTGTAGTAGGACGAGGGCGGCAGGTTGGGGCAGTTGTTGAGGTAGTACGCAACATACGACGCTTGCCTGTTGGTTCGTTACATGGGTACCAAAAAAAGTGAGCACGACACACACGCGACATTACACGACACCACTACACGAAAACAAAAGGGAGAAACCGCTCGCACGAACCAGGAGGGAATGCCAAAGTCGTTGGAGAAGCCGCCGGTGCTGAAGGTGCTGCCGATCTCGCTGAAGACGCCTGTGATGGGTTCAACATGGGAACAAAGGAGAGCTCAAGTGAGAACCAAGATGCAGGAGTCTGGTTATGTGTGTGTGTGTTGCTTACCGGCGTCCTGGTGGACCTGGGTGGCGCCGACGAGGGTGATCCACGGGGAGGACGGGTAGGGGAACTCGAAGGACGAGCACCAGTCGTTGCAGCCAACGCCGTCGTCGCCAGAGGCCACCAGCACGGTGAGACCGCGCGAGCCCAGCTTCATCCACTCGTTGGACACCCTCATGACTTCGTCGATGGGGTAATCGCCACCATACTCACCATACGAGCTGTAGTGATGAAATAAATATTAACATTTCAACACAAGCTGAACGTAAAACAAATAAATGTAAAGTAAAGTAAAGAAATAAGTAATAAAAATAAGTAGAAAAAAAGAGACGACATACACGGAGTGGACCAGAGGAGGCTTGGGGTCGTTGGCGAGGTCGTTGACCCAGTCGAAGAAGACCTTGATCTCGTCGCCGTCCTCATCACTGGTGATCGCGATCACACATGGCCATGTCATCATCAGCACACTAGCTATCATGTATGTGATCACATACGGCGGGCTCATCGTGGGTACGTACTTGTAGTTGTACGAGTAGGAGGGAGCAAAGGCGCCGATGGCCATGATGTACTGGATGTCGAGCGAGGCCTCGGTGTCGGGGTCCGTGGGGTCGTTGGGCAGGTTGCCCAGCGTCTTCTTGACCCTCTGGCCGGCCATCTGCGGCACGTACTCCTGGAAGAAGGCCTGCAAGTCGGCGTTCGAGTACGAGTCTGTCGATGAAGACATCCGTCATGACGATGATGATGATGATGTCAGTCGCTGAACGAGAGACGGTTAAGACGTGTACGTGGTACGTACCTTCGGTCTCGAAGACGGCCTGGGTGTTGTTGACGCCCTGGCTGGCGACGGGTGTGGTGATGTTGTAGAGCTTGCGCAGGAGGGTGGGCGTCACGTTGGGCTGATCCAGCGGCGCGCCGCTGTGGGCAGTGTACTGCGCCTTCTTACCGTTGGGCCTGGGGAAGCCTGTTGCGTGTAGCGAGTTTAGCAACTTGCATCTTACTTCTTCTACGCAGTGCGGCTCGTGTGGAAAGATGTGATTTGCTCGATCGATGGCTAGATGGGGAGGGAAGAAGGGTGGCATACCGACGATAGGGGTGACGAAGTCAACGATGTGATCGAGGTGGCGCGGGATCTCGTAGACCTCCTCCTCGCACCGCTGGATGACGATGCGCTCGGACCTTGTCGAATCCTTGCGAGGCGTGTAGGCCCTGACGCGGCACTTGACCAGCGCCTCTAGCGCCTCGGCCGAGGCAGCGATGCGCACCCAGGAGCGCGAGGCCATGACCTCCCAGTGCTCGACACCGGCGCGCTCGAGCCACTGCGCGACCTGCGCCACGTCATCTTCGCTTGGAGCCACCAGCGCATTGAGCTCTTCCCATTCGAGATGGCGGCCGTAGCGGTCGGGGCGAGCGGGATCGGACGAGGCCTCTACCGACTCCTGTACGGTCCGCAGACCAGCGGCGTTCTCCTTGAGCGCCACGTAGGCCTTGATCAGGGGCTGCTGCTCATCAGCATCGACGGCAGCGCGCTTGGCGCTGACCCATTGCCGGGTCTCTGCGGGGGTGAGGGGGCGCCAGTGCGAGCGGCCACTCGTGGCACGCTTGCTCACAAATCCACGCAGGCCGGACGATGCGCTCGCGACCGCCAGTGCCGCGGCCAGCACCACAAGAAGGACAAGGATCGTAGCCCTCGCCATGTTCAGGTCAATCGCAGCTGATCTGATCTGGCTTTTGATCTAAAGGCGATATCTTTTCGGGCGGTAATTATGTAATGTTCAATCCATGATTTAACCACCTATGACGTCGACAAATTACTGCCCCTTCCGCAGCAAAAGGTGGGAACGAGATGACCTGAATACTTGAGGCAAGGTGGGGCTTACCAGTTGAACTGATCGACTGACATGAGAACAACATAACTAGAACAGCAGGAGGTGGAGATGGACCCTAATGAAGTGTTGATAAGGTTAGAAGCTTCACAGCCTGGCCACGTCATTGGCTACGAGAGCGCTGCCGAGGCGATGTGGGACCTGCTGCATCATCGACACAGCGTGCTCCCCAAGCTCGTGTTCTACATCCGCTTCTTCGTCAACGCTGGCCGTCCCCGCATCGGCTCCAACCAGCTATTTATCGTCCACCGCTCCGAGATGGACCTGTTCGCCTCCGGCGGCGACCACGGCGCCTTGGGCAAGGAGTCCGAGGAGCGGCTGTGGCGCATGCTGGAGTCCCGCCTGTCAGAGTGGACCGGCTGCGGCCACTTCGCGTCCGTCATGCGCCACAACCTCTACTTTGCCAGCCGCGAGGAGGAAGAACGAGCCGGGTCCCAGAGCACTTTCACCACGCCGGCCCGGCTGCTCGACCACCTCGACTCGGCGGCCGTGAGCGCAAGCGAAGAAGACCGGGACGAGGAGAAAGGCCTGGTCATCCGAGTCGAGTTCTCGGCCTACGATGCCGACGAATGGGACCAGGAGGGCCGCGGCGCCGGGCCAAAGCCCAACGCGCTCGACTTCCATGCCTACCTGATCGACATTCCTTCTGCGGGCCGGGTCAGGGACCACCCCGATGGCGACGACCAAGAACCAGCGGCGTACGTGGTGCAGTCGCTGTGGGAGCACTACGACGTGTCGGTGAGGCCGATCTCGGCGGGCGACCTCCGGCGCCACCTCCGCTTCCTAGCCTTGTTCGACGGCCGCACGCAGATGGCCAACAGCGAGCGGTGTAGACTGACCCACCCGTCGTTCTGGGACGTCCCCCTGCCGCGCACCCAGGGGCGACCTCGGCCCTGCTCGTCGCACCACTCGCCGCTCGAACCCTATCTGGGCTCGTCTCTCGACCCACTGCTGGAGCGACTCGAGTCGCAACATGACCAGAAGCCGCACGATGAGGTGGTGGTGTCGGTTCTGGACGTGTTCAGCGTGGCGGCCTACGACAGTGGCGAGACCAAGCGCCGGCTGGCGGCCTACATGTGCCAGGCGCGGTTGGCCGACGGCGACGGCTTCGTCGGCAGGGGTGAGCGAACGCTCCCCTACGGGCTGCCGAACCTGACGTCATCGGCCGGTTCGCCTCGTCGGGCGTGGAGCGAGGTGCTGAGTGCCGTGGATCGGGTGCACGCTGCCACGGAGGCCAAGCAGAAGAAGGCCGGCAAGAAGAACGGACGCATCCTGCCCCTCGTTGGCTACTTGCCCGCGCCGCACCCGGACACCAAGCACAGGCACAGGAGCACCCCAGCCAGCGACGACGCCCTGCTCCCGTCGGTGATCGTCAAGCCCGACCACAAGCGCCGAGGCGAGCGCAAGGGCCGTGAAGGTGGGGCCAAGCAGAGAAGCCGGTGCACACTATCGTAAGCAGCCTACCGCGCCCAAGCTAGAGAACAAGCACAGTTGTAAATAAATAACTTATCAAAAAGAAGAGCGGCGTTTGATTGATCACTGCTCGCGCTCTTCGGTGTCGTCGCGGCTGCGGAGGACGATGTCCTTGAGCTGCATAAGGTGGCCGATCTCGTAGTCGGCGAGTCCGTTGGAGGTGGGCTCCGTGTGCGTCACCAACACCGACGTCCAGCCCACACTACCAGCGCAGCGTCTCGATTAGTTCCAACCTCAGTGACTCACGAGCAGCGACTAATCTGAGTCTGCGAGTTATACGCACCCTTTGGCGCCGTAGACGTCGGCATCGACCTCATTGCCGATGAAGAGGATACGCCTCGGGTCGCGCGACTGCACAACGAAATGGCTTCGGTTGAACCCAAAACGACAGAACGAAGAATGAAGAACGGAGAAGAGAGGGAACGCCACGCACGTGGATGTGTTCGATGTTGGCCGTCCGTGCTGCGGTGACGAAGACCTCGGGGTCGGGTTTGACAAAGCTGCCGGACAGTCAGGTTACCCAACGTCAGAACGCCAACAGCAGCAGAAACATCCACCCGCCGGTGATGACGACGCACCCAACCTCTCCGCCCATCACAACCGCTTCGAAGTGTCCTGGGTCGATCCCCGCTGGATGGAGGAATGATGAAGATGGTGAGCGGATGAAGCACAAGTGAAGACGCGGTAAGGTTACCTTTGGCGATGCGTTTGCGCATGGCTTGTTCGTCGAGCTTGGAGTTGCGGATGAGGCCCACGGGCAGCCCCGCCTCCTCGCGGAGCCAGCGAATGATCTCCTCCGCCCCGCCGTAGAGGCCCGAGTCGGCCGTCACCTCCACCTGGAACGACGTGCACAAGTACTCCTACCGTTCGCGTGGCGGCCACCAGTTACAAAACTGATGAGTTGTGTGTGTGTGTGTGTGTGTGTGTGTGTGCGTGTGCTCCTGCGTGTGCGGTTGGTTCAAGGTCACCTTGTCGGGCTGCTCGAGTCCGCCGAGCCCCAGCTCCCGCAGCAGGGCGCATAGGAAGTCACCCCAGGAGAAGGTGCGCATGCCATCCTCGCCCTTGTGCTGGTGCATCAACCGGTCGAAGATCTGCTGCAGGTCCTCGAACGTGGGCAGTTGATAGGCGGACGACTCCCTTGCGACGTCGGCGTTGTTGGCCCGTTCATCCAATACACGATCTGTGATGCGAATGGCGACCTCTCTGCTGGAGTTCCTGTGCTGCAGCAGCTCCTTGAGCGCGTCGTAGAAGCGCCGCAATCTGCGCTCAAGCAACTACACTCAGTTTCCACACACACACACACACACACCACACCACAACAAGCACACTATCGCACACGGCCTACCTCAGGTCTGTTCTCTGCTTGGTGTTCATTCCGCTCTTCTTGGCCAGGGTGCCCTTCCAGTCGAAGAACACGTAGTCATAAGGCACCTTAGCCTCTGGCTTGTGGAGGTGTGCGTTCTTGGGTCCCCTCACCTCACCTCCTCGCTCTTCACCCAATACACATGTAGACCGGCATGTGAGACACTACAAGACCACTAAAGAGAGTGCTGGTTTGCGTACCAATGTCGTTCACGTCAAAGCCAATGGGTGGGTCTTGCTGAGTACTGTTTGAAGGTGCTGTGGTGGTAGAGTCCATCTTGCTCTTTAGAAGATTTGCGTCAGTCACTGCACCTGGGCTTGGCCTGGCTCTGCCTGTTCGCGGAGCTTGTCCGGTGCCTTTTCCGTTGCATTTCCCTTGCGATTGGCCGACACTTTCGAGGAATGTGTTGTATGCGCGTATCGCTATTTTTTACCTTTATTTTTGAACGATTAAAAATCTAATATAAATATCGAATATACAATTGGTCTTAGTGGTGAAGTGAATGAAGGAGATGACGATCAATCCTTCCTCACCACCTCTTGAGACCTCCGAAGTTGTCGACACCGCAGATCCAGGTCCGGTTGCCGTGCGACCATGACGATGAGCATCAGAAGTCGCTGGCCTTGCGGGAGAGCAGGAGTCGGCGGTCGATCGGCTCCGCGGTACTATGGAACTGTTCCTGCTCCTGCTCCTGCTCCTCGGTGTCGTCGCACACGAAGCTGAAGGTCCAGCTCGCCGCGCCGTCGGCTGCGACCTCGAGCATCCACTGCCGCTCCTCGGCCGGGCGCACCATGGACTCGACCCGCTCGTCGTGCTGGTAGGTGAAGCCGCTCTCGTCGACGCACTCCTGGTCGTCGAGCTGCGACAGGAAGTTGAAGGTGGCGCCGAGTCCGCGGGCCATGCGGCGCCGGACGCGTCGCATGGCGAGCGAGCCGAAGCCCTTGGGCACGGCGGGCTCGACCTCCTGGTCGTCCATTGCCGGCACCTCGACGAAGTACTCCACCTTCTTGAGCGAGGGCTGGCGCATCAGCTTGGGCGCGGGCTGGAGCTGCTGCTTGTGATGGTGAAGATGCATAGTAGCTGGGGCCACTTCCATATTGCTTGATTGTAGTTGATGTATATATGGAAAGGTCAGGAGGTGGAAGAAGAAGAAGAAGAAGAGGAAGGACTCGAGTGCGGTCTCTTCGCTCTGTACAGAGGTGAGATGTAGAGAATGGGTTGGTGTAAGAATAACGAGTAAGAATCGAGAAGTGGGATCAGGTTTTTATACCCGGTCGTATGGGTGGGCGGAGCTTGGTGGTGGTGTGATAGGAGAGATAGAAGCCATGGCTGCCAGCGAGCTGGGATCAGGACTCCTCGTTCCCATGACCTCGCCTCAAGTAAGTCGCACGGGCGTCCGGACTTACGGAGCGAAACAAAGAAATACAAAAAGAAATCGAAAATTGAAATAAAAAATGTGTGAAAGCAAGATGACAGGGGTACTACTTGGTGAGGAACTTGCGTCGTTCCTCGCGTCGCCGCTTGCGCTCCTCTTCCTCCTTGGCCCACTGGGCCTCGCGCTCTTTCCGCTCCTCCTCGCGCTGCTTCCTTCGCTCTTCCAGCTCCGGGTCGTTCACCAGCAGCGCCATCAACGAGTCTTGCCTGTGGTAGCACAGCCCCAGCAGCACCCACTCCTTCAATCACCGCACACAGTGCCACAAGCAACACAATGCGACACGATAACACGACGCAACACGACAACATCTCGAAAGCGCACACGTACCGAAGGAGCAACTTTTGGCCGGCGTCGTCTGCAGCGCCGGAGAGGAGGGAGGAGGGACCCTGCACCAATCCGCTCAGGGGCGACAAGGGTCCCTTGCCGTAGGGCGACGTCCGCGGTGAGTCGAACAGCGACGCCCGCGGCGAGTCGAAAAGCGACGCCGCCGTGTGCGGCGAACGGGGCGACGACATGGGCGAGACACCCGTCGCATCGGTCCCCACACCGGTGCCGCCTGCGCTTGGCTCTATCTGTCGCTCGACATGCTGGTGCTGATGAAGCTGGTGGAGTTGGCGCAGCTGCAGCTGTCGACGCTTCAGCTTGACGTTCTCTTCGGCCGCTGCGGCGAAGGTGGGCGACGGCAGGCGGTCCTCCTCGTCGCCGCTGCTGTTGCCGCCGCTGTCCTTGCTCTTGGCGGAGGAGCCGCCCCCATCGGCAGCACCGATGAGCTCGCCCAGGAACGGGATGTAGTCTTCGCTGTCGGAGTCGTCCAGGTTGTCCTCGACGCCGCTGAAGCACGACGAAAAGGGCCACCCGGGACACGGCAGCAGCTAACCAACGCCCTTGTATGTTAGATTCCATTGCTGAGTGTGTCGTGTGCGTCATGTCGTTTGTGCGTGTCGTGTGTGTCGTGTGTGTCGTGTGCGTGTCGTGTGTGCCGTACCGGAAGTTTAGTGATTCGTTCGAGGTCGCGGATGATGGCCGAGAGGGAGATGTAGTTCCGGCTGTCGAAGCCCAAGAACATGAATCGTCCGTTGTTCTTGTAGACGTAGATGTTGTTCGGGTTTCGGCCCTCCGTCCGCATCAGGGTCAGCGCCAAACAGACGCCTGTTGGTTATGTTCCACGACACACGCACACACGCCACACGACACACACAGCTCTGTTGGTCTCCCATGGGGCCAACAACCTTCTCTTAAGTGCAGAACAGACTGTGATGGGGTGAATGGGACCTTCTTTGGAGGTCATGCGGAAGAGGAATGAGCCCGCCTGGCGGCCCAGCAGACGCCGATGGGCTTCGCCTCTTCGCACAAAGCCATGGAACCACCTGAGAAGGCACGCAGGCACATGTATGTGTTGACCATCGCACGACACACGCATTATTCGCACGCACACACGCCGCACGCACACGAATCGATCAATGTGCAAATCATTACCTTTCCATGAGGAGCTCACGGATTTCATCGAGCACACACGGGTGGGAGTGGGAGTCGTCGCGCAGGAGCGGACCAAAGAGGGCCGTGATTTGCCCGAACTGCTGGATATTCACGAACTCCTTGCCCTCCACGTCCGCTGCGCACACACGGCGATCAGCCACGCTTCAAGTCTAAGCATCCGTGTGTGTGCAGTGGTGCGTGCGTGCGCGTGTGCGGTGGTGCGTGAGGAAGCAATGGTGAGGGCCACGCACGACGAGCCAGGAGCTTTTTGAGGCAGAGGTAGTTGGTGGTGGCGGTGTCGAGCTTGGTCTTGTCGATATTGCGCGGCATTCTCTGGCGGATGAACCGGTAGAACGACGCCGCAAAGTTCTGCCACGGCACGTTGTGCTGGAGAAGAAGAAGAAGAAGACATCAACGCCAGCACAGTGGCATACGAGACACGGTGATGATACGTACTTGGCGAAAAAAGTATTTCTTCCAGAATCGACGTCCTTGGTCATCGAGGATGGCGATCTGGATGAGGATTTGATCGATCTTCTTGTTGATCCGCTCGAACGACGGACGCTGTGCGGCAATGTCGAAAGGGAAGATGAGAACAACATCAATCAGTCCCATGATGACGTTGATGATGATGGCGTTAAGAATACCTTGGCAAAGTCTGTCTGCCAGCACTCCTGCATGAGCTTTTTGAGGGTAGAGATGCAATTGGCCGGTATCTTGGGCCGAAGGCCGTTGCGCCAGATCTGAAACGCGAGCCCCTCGGTCGAATGTCTGTTGTGCCCACGCAGGCCATGAGTCCAGCTTGGCGATCCCGTGTACAAAAGAAGAAGAAAAAGAACGAAGAACGAAGAACGAAGGCGACAAGCGAGTGGCCAACAACGTACTCGGTGTCGGCGTAGAGGGGCTCGCAGGTGAAGAGCTGCCACAGGATGATACCAAAGGAGTAAACGTCGGCCTTTTCATTGTAATCCGAACCCTAATAAGATGTCATACCAGTGGTGCGCTCGGTCAGTAGTGCGGAGACTTTGCACCAATTGATTGTGAAGCGTAAGAGCCAAACAGTAAAGATGAGATTACTAAGTAAGATACCTGCAGGATTTCCGGTGCCATGGTATTTACGGTGCCCACCTTCTCCCATACGAGCGACGCCGACTTCTTCGGCTTGAGCGCCGACAACCCAAAGTCGGCTATCTTGATCTGAAACGTGTTCCCCACCTTTTTGTACTGTAGATCACAATTGCGCGGCCAACGATCATAGCCAGCCAATACACCACCAATGATCACTCGCGTCAGCCAATAAGACTCGATGGATTTTATGAAGCAGACGTCCCATACCATCATGTTCTCGAGCTTCAGATCTCTGCATAACAAAAACAAAAAACAAATGAATACATGAGTAAATGAAGTAATAGACTACCGCGTAAGTAACGTGGTGCGTGCTGAGGCGCTGAGAGCAAGAGTCGGGTGGTCACCTGTGGATGATGGCCGGATCGCGAGAGTGCAGCCATTGCATGCCGCGGGCGGCGTCACGCGCCATGCACATGCGCTGAAAGAGCGACATCTTCTTGCCCATGGGCGACTGGATGAGAAGCCTGCAACCACGATCACAATTACCGCGTCAGCGTTGACATACTGTACACAACACCGCACACACCGCACACGCATACTAGAAAGGAGAGCTACGTTTCAAGGTCGCCGTCCATGAGTTCGAGCACAATGCGGAACTTGTCCGGCGCATGGCAGGCGCCAAGGCACAGGATGAGATTGGGATGCAAGCTCGTCCTGTGCGTGCGTGCAATCGTCAATTGAGCGTGCTCTCATGGGCGAGGAGTGGTATCAACAACACGTACGTCATGATGCGTATCTCTTGCTTGAGATCCTCCATGTCCTCTTTAGAGAGTACGGCCGGTTGCACCGCGGCCGTGGTCGGTCCCGTGTCCTCTCCCGGCTTCTTGCTGTCGCCATCGGCGTTGCCGTCGGCCTCGGCCTTGGTGTCATTGCCGTCGGCATTGCCGTCGACAGCGCCGGCGTTGGTGTTGTTGCCCACGAAGGGCACCTTGACGGCGACCGCCAGGCCGAAGCACTCGCCGCGGTAGACGGTGCCGAAGGTGCCGTGGCCCAGTACGGACCCCAGTTTGATCTGCTCCTCCTGCAGCTCGTAGGACGGCCGTACCGTGGCAGCTCCCGAGGCAGAGTCGCCCAACATGGTCGCGGTCGTGGTCGTCGTCGTTGGTTGTGGTCGTTGTGGTCGTAGGTGACTGCCCGGTCAAAAAGATTGCTGGTAAAAACTGATTTAATACTGATTAAAAATACTACTATTTTTAAGAGTAATATCATCAACTTTGGACGAAGCTGTGAGAGGAGTACCGAATGGCTGAGCGGAGAGTGGTTTTCTAAGAAAATGAATGACCAGATTATTCTTGTAGTACAATTAATTAAGTCAGATCTAGTGATTTTCTGGTTTTGCGGCCTTGACCTCCTTTCTAAGGGTGAGCTCAATCTGACTCGATTCGCTTCCTGATCGATTCTGAGACAGATTATCTTTTTAGCTTATGATTTCTTTTTCCGACCTGTCCTTGGTTGTTTTGCAACGCGTCCTTTGGAGCAACAGGCAAGAAAGAAAATTAAAATAAATAGACTAGGCTTCGTTACTCTTGACCGGTCGGCGGCTACCTCTTCGCAACAGGTCATTTAGGAGGCTCCCTTTCGATTATTGTTTTGTTTTTGGTGCAAAAACGCGTCCATTGGGGTGCGGCATTTTATGGCCTCAAAGCAATAAACCAGAAGAAGGACTGTGTTTCGGTTTACCCGGTTTTCTCTTTTTGATTTCTTTAGGTTTACTTTTACGGAATTCCAGGAAGGAATTCGTGTCCGCATAAACGTTATTGTCGTTACGTAGAAGCGCCAACGATCGCAACGAGGATCAATTAATCAATTTTTTCAATCTTAGCGAGCCCTGCAGGGCGGTGTCTTTTGTGCCCCGAGGTAAGTCGTGCAGCTGCCTAATCACGTTTTCAATTTAAATGTGTAGAATTAATCCATTCTCAACAGAGGTAGAAGATGAGCACAAAGGGGCGTGGAAAGAAGTCAGCGGCAGACCCAAAGCCACCACGTTCCCGGGCTTCGTCAAAGGGTCCTCGTGGCAAAGCTGCGAAGAAGGGCAAGAAGCGTGAAGAGGAGGAAGCATCCGACCCGTTCGCCTTCCACGAGGAGGACAGCGACGCTGGCGCCGGGGAAGAAGCCGCTCTGGCGGCGGCCAAGGGGAAGAACAAGAAGAAGAGGACGACAGCAACATCCAGCACCAGCAGCAAGGAGAAGCCGAAAAAGAAGAGAGCAACGAAACAGCAGAAGAAAGCGAGCCAAGACGAGCAGACGGCAGAGGAAGAGGAGAAGGAGAAGCCCAAGCCCAAGCGAGTAGCGAGGAAGAGTGCGCGTGGTGCCAAGAAGCGACAAGTAGAAGAGCAGCAAGAGGAGGAGGCGAAGCGAGTAGAGACCGAAGCCCCGAAGGAGGAAGAACGAGACAATGGCCAAGAAGGCGAGCAGCAGCAGCAGCAGGAAGCAGAGGAGCACGTGAAAGAAGAAGTAGTAGAGCAGAATGTAGAGCAGAAGGAGACGAACGGCGTCGATGATAAGCTCGCAGCGCCAGAGATGGAGAAAGAAGAAATCGTGGTGGAGAAGAGAGGGGCAGAGGTCGAGGCCGAGGTGGCCGCGCTGAAGAAACTGACGGTTCCACAGCTCCGGAAGAAGCTGAAGCAGTGCCGCCTGTCCACTCAGGGCAAGAAGCAGGAACTCATCGACCGTTATTTCGCACACGCGAACCGTCCTCAGGCGCAGCCATCTCCCGTTGCTGACAGCACTGGTATGCACCACGATCAGGCTGTGGCTGTGGGTGCTGTGTGGTGAGATGACTTCCGTTGACTTCTTCTTCTTCTTTTCCCCTTCTTGCTCGGCCTGCAGTCGCCGAAGGCGTCGACGCCGCACAAGTGGGCAAAGAAGCTGCGGCAGCTGAACTGGATCATCGGCTTGCTGCCGAAGCGCCAGCGAGCACAGGCAAGGACGAGATGGCATCGGAAGACTCACTTCCAGCGCGTCCAGCAGGGGACCACCAGAAAGCCGCTCTGGATACGACGGCGGCGGCGGCGGCGGTGGAAGAGCGCGAGACAGAGACTGGAGCCGCCGAGAGACCACAGGCCGAGAATTCGAGTGACGATACAAAGGAAGAGAAGGAGCTATCAACGGTGGAGGAAAAGACCACGACGCCGCCACGGCAGAAGAGCAAAACGAAGCGGAAGGTCAAGGAAGCTCCCAAGACAGTAAAGCCGACAAAGGAGGAGAAGGAGGAAAACAAAAAGGAGGAGGAGGAGGAGAAAGAAAGAAGAGAGAGCGCAGAGGAACGGATAGGCGACGACGAAGCGCTGGCTTCCGCTCCTCGACCGACGGTGGAGGATGAGGCTGCAGCCATTCCAGCGTCTCCGTTGTTGGAGGTGATCGTCCCCAACAGCTTGCCGGCCAGCCAAGGTGTGGAGCGCGACACCAAACACTCTCGCGCGAGCTCGTCGCTCACTCCTTCAACCGCCGCAGATGCAGAGACGGATGCGCAGATGGAGGCAACCACGGAAACCACGGCGGAGGACACCAGCGCAGAGACGCAGCCGGAGCGAGAAGAGCGAAAGCGGCGGAGGAAGGAGTCGCTGCTGACCGAAGAGATCGAGCGCGTGCACCGCGAGCGAGTGGAAACGGAGAAGCGGCTGCGCGAGATGACCGACCGCGAGAGCAGGCTCAAGCGAAGGCAGGCCGAGCGGAAGGAGCGGATCAAGAAAAAGGCCGAGAGCACGCCCACGCGCAAGGCCGCCAACAAGGCCGTGGGCAAGAAGCAACTCGCGCCGCGCGCCCTCGACGTACGACCGGATCGCCAGCTGTGTGCACAGTGGGGGTTTGACACATGAGTTTACTCACCAGTGGCATGCTATCAAACAAACAGGCGGAAGACGATGAGTGGATGATCAACAGTTCGCCGCTCGACCTTGCCGAAGGCTGCTTTGCCGGCGCAACAACGGTCGAGCCAACAGCATCATCGCCAACCTCGCCATCGTCGCCAACGAGAATCGATGCCGAGGTGCAGGAAGCGAGCGCCGGAGAGGAGACCAGCAAGCCAACAACAACAGAGCCGACGAAGGCGACGAAAACGGTGGAGAACGTGACATCACCGAGAAAGAGAGGGAGACAGGAGGTCGACGACGAACCAGGCACCAGCCCGGCCAAGCCAACCAAGAAGCGAAGGAAGAAGGATGGCCACGACAAGCCGAGCGAAGCCGGGGGAAAGGAGGAAGTGGTGATGTCTGCTGCGCCAGAGGAGAACGAAGAGGAGAGGTGGAAGGCCGCGGCACAGGACGAAGAGCTGCGTGAGCGAGAGGAAACGCTGGCGCGACGACTGGCGGTGCTGGACGAGGAGAGGCAGCGCGTCAAGGATGAGCTCGAGCGGGTCAAGTCGCAGCGAGAGCAGCTACGAGCCGACCTCGACACCACACCGACCACCAAGACGGCGAAACCGAAGAGGAAGAGCGCCAAGAAAGAGAGGAAAGGGAAGGAGGAAGAGAAGAAGGTTATCGAGAAGAAGGAAGCGGACGACGGTGGCATTATCCTCCTCCACGCGGAATCCGGCAACGCGGAGCCCGAGAACGGAGCCAAGCGAAGCAAACGCAAACGAGAGGACAAGAAAGAAGAGGAGGAGGAAAGGGCGGCGAAGAAGTCAGAGGATCAGGCGAAGATCAAGACCAAGACCAAGGCCAAGACGAAGAGGAGGAAGAAAGCGGAGAACGCCGCCGATCCGGTTGAGGAGAAATCGACCAACGCCGAGGACGAGATCGTCGACATTGAAGGCGATGGTGGTGAAGGAAAAGGAAAGGAAAAGGACAAGGAATCGACAGCGGTGGTGCCGGCGGCGGCGGTTGCGAAGGCGTCGTTCAAGTGGCGTGCGGGCTTCGTGTCGATAACCGGCGGCCGACCGGAGAACCAGGATGCCTACATCGTCCCCCTGTCGGCCGTTCCCGTCGCGGCGCCCTCCACTGCGACATCGCGCCGCAGCCGCGGGAGGAAGTCGGCTCCCGTGATCGTGGAGGAGGTGCCGGCGCCGAGCCTCCCGGCCCTGCCCTCGCCTACCGACGACCTGGCCATCTTCGGCGTTCTCGACGGCCACGGCCTCAAGGGCCAATACGCAGCGCAGGTAAGTCCACTGCCACGACTGTATTATTTCATCGTTATAATACCGTATGCAATCGCGCGTCAGCTAACTGGCCTCTTCCGCTGGTGTTTGTGCGTGTGTGCGTGTGTGCGTGTCGCAGGCCGGGTCGAAATACCTGCACACGTTTATCGCGCAGAGCTTGAGCGATCTGCAGCAGGACGACATGGCCGAGGGCGGAACGACGGACCCGCTCGAGCTCGTCAAGGCGGCAATCCAAGCCGGCATCCGGCAGACGCAGGAGGTGCTCCTTCAAGACGGCCAAGAGTCCGGCATCGTACGTGTTCGCACACAGCTTCACTTCACACACCCTTATGATCGTGGCCTCACAGCCGTAACTGTGCTCATTCCGGTCATCTCCTTCGCCGCAGGAATACGGAACGACTGCGGTCGTGTGCGTACAGATCGGCGATTCTTTGGTACGCAGTGGCGTCACATCGCCCGCCTTGCGCATGTCATGCTCACACTGTACGCGGATGCTCTTTGCGTATAGATCGTAGGCAATGTGGGAGACAGCAGGGCGGTTCTGTTTCGAAGCCCCAAGACGGCCGCGGGGGCCGGCCCTGGCATCGAGCTCGAGAGCGTGGTGGCGACGGGCCGCGGTAGAGGCCGCGGTAGAGGCCGAGGTTCCCGACGCCGGGCGACGCTGGAGCTCGCCGACCCGCAGCTCACCGAGGTGATGTGCACGCACGACCACCGGTACGGCACACCAAGAGCCATCGTCATCGTGGAGAAGGCTTGATTGCTAAGCCATGCTGACGCCCGACCAGGCCGTGGCGTAAGGAGGAAGCGGAGCGTGTCGCGCAAGAATCCAACGGGCGTGGCCGCGTGACGGTGGGCAGCGACGGCAAGACGCTGCGTGTGTTTCCCTCGTTCGACTACTACTCGCTCGACGAGATCAGAGCCAAGAAACTGGGTACGCAGTTTTCTTTTTCGTTGTTGTGGTGCCTCTGCGCGCGTGTGCGCACGAGTGAGCATGCCAACTGTTCCTGGTCTGTACAGACGGCGAGCGCAAGAAGCGACGCTCGGTTCAACGATCTGTTGGTGTGTTGTGCGCATTGTGCGTTGTGTGCCCCACCCGCCACCTGTGTTGATTTGTGCCTGCGCTGCGCAGGCTTGGCCATGACCCGATCTCTCGGCCACGCCATCCTTTCGACGTGCGGAGTGAGCTCGGAGCCCGAGTTCTTCTGCGCCACGCTACAGTATATACAGAGTCTCTCGTTGTTGTTGTTGTTAACTCTCGGCCGCCGCACATCGACAACGTTGACGAACTCTCTGCACAGGGACGGCGACAAGCTGATCATCGGATGCGACGGTCTGTGGGACGTACTTACCAACACTGAGGCCATGAAGATAGTGTCTCTTTATGCCGGCCAGGACCCGCAGGTACGCACACGACACACACGACACACGCACCACACCGCACACGACACACGCACCACACCGCACACGGCTGACCCGGGCATGTGTGGGTGGAAAAAGGCCGCGTGCGCTGCGCTGGTGAGCGAGGCGGAGCGAAGGTGGGAGCGAAAGAGTTCAGGAGGCGACAACATCACCGCTGTCGTCGTCTTCTTCAACACTACATAGTAGCACACAAGCGTGTACTTCTTGTCGTACAAGAAAGGAGTCTGGTCGGAGCCAAGAGATATGTTGGTTTATTTTCGTTTTATTTGTCTTTAATTTTAGCTGGCTCAATAGCGGAGCTCGATGGAAGGTAGCATCGATGCTGGGGGCGATGCGGGTGCATCGTCCGGCGTTGGTGGAGCAGCGCCTCAGCATCCTCTCAACAAGTCGCAAGGTATGATGACAAGCAACGCTGATCGGATTGTGTCGAATGCATTGTGCATTTGCTGATGCTTTGTAGATGGCGAGGCTGAGATTAACAGCGAGTCTGGACTTGAGGAGGAGACCGCCAAGAGCGGTGAAATCTCGATCAGGCGAAGCAGGTACCTTCAATCTCGAAAAACCGAAACTTGATGGAATCACGAGTTTAATTGAGGGGATGGCCACAGCACATCCCTGCGAGCGAGTGATCCTGTGAAAGAGAAGGACCAGAAGCGAGGCGGCATCACCAAGGCCAAACTCAAGCAGTTCCTGGGTACGCACATCCTCTTTACACGAGCCTGAGTAGTGCAAGCGTTGGCCGCTCATGAGTTGGTTCGCATGTCGTGTCGCCCTGATGTACGATGGCATGGTGCAGGCCGCCAGACGCCAGAGCAGCTCTACGAGATCGGTCAGAAGGCTGAGAAGGAGGGCGACTACACCAAGGCGCTTGAATGGTACATCATTCCCACCTCGTTGCTTCTTCTTCGTACTTCGTTCATGTTTGCTCATCACATCTCCGTGCCCACAGCTATGTGAAGGCCGGCGAGCACAATCCGGTCCACGTGCGGTCCATCTACGCCATCGGCAGCCTGTATGATGGCGGGCGCGGTGTCGAGCGGGACCACAAGCAGGCCTTCTTCTGGTAAACCCTAGCACCGCTCTCTGCTCAGCACAACGCATTTGCGTCGTCTTGATCATTCATGGTCATCGCGTTCATGTGCTCTCGTCAGGTTCAACAAGGCGGCGGAGCACGGCGACCCGAAGGCCCAGTTCAACATCGCCGTCATGCACGAGGACGGCGAAGGCGCGGAGAGGGACCCGGCGCTGGCCCTCAAGTGGTACACCAAATCGGCGGAGAGCGGCTACAAGCGCCCGTGCTACGAGCTGGGTCGCATCTACGAAAACGCCGAGTGCGGCGTAGAAAAGGTGTGCTGGTTGTGGTGTGTGTGCGTGTGTGTCATCGTGAGAGAGCCTTGCTGACGCTGCAAACTGTTTGCTTCTTCCCTTAATAGGACATGTTCAAGGCCTTCGCCTATTACCTGCTGGCGGCGCGCAAGAGCGACTCGAAGGCCCAGTTCAAGGTGGGCGTGTTCTACTCCAAGGGCTACGCCGTTCACCAGGACTACAAAAAGGCGATGAAATGGTACAGTTGCCGCCTTCCCAGTAGTGAGTGAGCTTGGTCTGCAAACTATAGTACACCATATGCTCACACTCGGGGGCTTGTTTGGCTCGGTCGCAGGTACAAGCGCGCGGCGCAACAGGGCGACCCGGACGCACAGTGCAACCTGGGTTGGATGTACGCGAGCGGTCAGGGCACTGAGGCCGACGACGCGCAGGCCGTGTTCTGGTACCAGAAGGCCGTGGTGAAAGGCCACGCCGTGGCCGAGTGCAACCTCGGTAATTGCTATCACGACGGCCGGGGCGTGGCCAAGGACCTCGCCGTCGCCTTCAAATGGTGCGCCCGCTGCAGCACCACCTTCATCCCCACTCCGTTGTGTGCGTGTATGTGTTGTGTGTCGTGAGTGTGTTGCTCATCACGTGGATGGCCCACGCTCAGGTACGAGAGTTCAGCTCAAAAGGGAAACGCCGTCGGTCAGCACAAGCTCGGTTGGGCCTACTTCAACGGTACGCCTACATTGAACACATCGCTTCTGATTCCTTTCGCACGCACGCATAGGACTCACTTGGAGTGTGCACCGCGGATTGTGACAGGCGATGGCGTCGAGAAGGACGAGAGCAAGGCGGGCGAGTGGTGGCACAAGGCGTCCGCGCAGGGCCATGCGGCGGCGCAGTGCGACCTCGGCTGGGCCTACGACAATGGTCGCGGCGTGCCCAAGGACTCAGCCAAAGCAGTCGAACTGTACGACCCATACATGAGTGTCCGCTATGCGCCAACGCGTCGTGGACTCATCACGAACGTTGTGTGTGTGTGTGTGTGTGACGCACAGGTACCTGCAGGCCGCAGCGCAGGGCAACTTCTTCGCGCAAAACAACCTCGGCATTGTGTTCAAGAACGGCATGGCGGTGCCCATGGACCTCGCCCAGGCTTTCGAGTGGTTCATGAAGGCTGCTGAACAGGTACGTGCCGCGCTTTCCCCGTTTTGTCATCGCATCGCATCGCGCGTTCGTGTGTCGTCTCTTTGCTCACAACCCGTTCGCGCTGTCGGTGCACCCTAGGACTACGCAAACTCGCAGTACTGGGTCGGCTACTTCTACGACCACGGCTGGGTGGTGGAAAAGGACCACGTCAAGGCCGCCGAGTGGTGAGTTCACCCTTCACTCAGCAGTTCCATGTCGCGTCTTCTTCTTTCTCAATTCTTATTATTTTCCAGGTACGAGAAAGCGGCCGAGCAGAAGAACGCCGGGTCGCAGTACGCGCTCGCGGGCATGTACGAGACGGGCAGGGGCGTCGAGAAGAATCTGCAGAAGGCGTACAGCTGGTGCGTGTGCCCGACCACAC